ATGTATCAGAATATGAGAGCCTACTAGATTCAAATGATGATGGTGCAAGACATGCGTTTGAAGTACCATTCAATATTGAAATGCCTAATTTGCAAGTGGTTATGTGCTTTCCAAGTGTCAAAGAATTTAGGACTGCTCTCAAAGAGCACGTTATTATAAGCAGGTTTCAAATGAAGAATTGAGACAGATGCTTGATGTTGAAGTTCCAAGGAACAAGATATACAAGGCAATGAAACAAGTTGAAGGGTGCCACAGAGCATGGGTGGTCAAGTTACCAAACTTCTATGAAGCAATATTGAAAGAGAACTTGGGAATAACCACTAGAATAGTGTAGATAGGCCCACTCCTAACTCACCTCCCAGCTTTTAAAGAGTGTTTCTCTGTTATGATGCAAAGAAAAGAGGGGCATTAGTTGGATTTAGGAGATTGGTAGGTTTGGATGGTTGTCACTTGAAGGGGCCATATGGGGGAACTTTGCTTGTTGTTTGTTTGGATGACAATAATGAAATGTTTCCAATAGGAATTGCTATTGTTGAGGTTGAATCTAGGCCCAGTTAGACTTGGTTTTTGTAGCAACTAGAATATGCTATTGATATCACAGATGGTGGCCATGGATGGTGCTTCATGTTAGACCGACAAAAGGTAAGTGGGTTAATTTGTTCAATTTTGTTTTATGTTGAAGATATGATTACATGTATATTAATATTGTTTTTTATTAAATAGGGCCTTATTGAAGTTGTACGTGATGTAATGCCTAATGCAAAGCATAGGTTCTATGTCTGTCACATGTACTCAATTTTTAAAACAATACACAAGGGTGTTGCACTAAGAAATGTGTTTTGAGAGGTTGCAAGGGCATATACAGTACATGATTTCAATTATGCATTATTGAAAATGAAGTCTCTAAGCCAATCTGCTTAGGTGTGGGTAAAGGCATTCTTCCAAAAACATGGATCTAGGACGTCTTCAACCTAACATAAAAAGTGATGATTTGACCAATAACATGTTAGAGTCAAGGTTCAAAATATTGATATAGGGTGATACGCCGGTAGGGCGTATTGACCTGTATTAGTACTACTTTTTTGTTTTTGTTTTTTTTTTTAATTTGGTTTAGAGGGGCCGGTCTACCCCTGAACCACTCACCGACCTAAAACACACCTTGTAGGGGCATATCAGAAAGGCTTTGTTACGATATGTATCAACCGATATGGGCCGATACGTGATGATATTTTGAACCTTGGTCAGAGTCATTTAACAAATGGGTTTTGGATGTCAGGTTCAAAGTTATTGTTCCTCTCCTAGAGTACATATGCATAAGTGTATGGTTAAAATCAAATCTAAACATGATAACATCGAATGACACAAATGCTCTTTTACCAAACGTTGCTAGGTTGGCTAAGAAGCAAAAATAACTTGCTAGGTATGGCTTGATCTCTGTGTATTTATTCATCTATAGATTCTTTGTTTTTTTTTCTTGTTTACTCACTTTAGTGTAATTGTTGATTTGAAAGAATTGCCAAGTCTTAAGGTTTAGGGAGTTGGAGTATGAGGTGCAATATAACAACTTTTGGGAGAGTGTTTACTTACAACATTGTTCTTGTAGTTGTCGAGTTTGGGACATTAGTGGTATTCCTTGCAAACATGCATTAGCCATGGCGGTCCATAGGTGAAAACGAATTGAAGATTATTTCAATGAATGCTGGAAAAGAGAGAAATATTTGACAGCCTATGCACCAACAATTCACCCTATATCAGATTATTGGTCAGAACGTTCCTGGGATACCCTTGAAGCACCACCTTTAAATAACAACTAGGAAGACCAAGATTTGATAGAAGAAGGGCACCGGATGAAGAGCCATCAACAAGGCAACCTCTGTTCTAGCGTAAGAGAGTTAAATGTTCTAGATGCAAAATGTATGGACACAATGTTAGAGGTTGTCAAGGGCCAACACCAAGAAACAAAGGAAGTAGTTTTGATTCAACATACGGGAGTGGGTCATCTGCACAATTACGACAATAATCACATATTTTGCAGGTCCTATTAATATACCATTAGTTACATGCATTAATTTACTTTCAATTGATTATTTTCCTTAGCGATGATTGAGTATTTATTTATAGGTGGAAAGAGTAAATAATGGTGAGAGAGGGTCTAGTAGAGCCATGAGGCCCCAAACTCAACACCAAGTTGTTAAGCTAGAGCCAATGCATTTCAGATTCGTGAGGCCCCAGGTTCATCAGCAAATTGACAATTTGTAAGGACATGAGCAGCCAAGTAGTCAAGCGCTACACTATTCATAACCATTTTCAATCATTGCTTGCTCGAACTAATAAAAGGAACAATATGTTGACACCAATTTGACTTATTTGAGAAAGAACCACAATAGTAATCATTTTTTGTATTTTTTGTTAGGTATAAGAAAGGAACAAAACATTGAATTTGTTGAGATGTACAAAATAAATCATTTTTGAAAACACAAAATCATATACATTGGTGATTTTATAATTGCTTCCATAATAGTTCTAGGCCTCTTCGGTTGGCTCCAAATACACTTGTTTGTTGACACAGTAGTTTGGACATGATACCTGATATTTTTTGTTTATGTGTATATATACTGATACTTAATATTTTACTTGGACTTGTTCATGTTCTTTTGACTACCTCTTCCTCTTTTTACCTATCGATGGGGGTGTAATAGTTGACTAAAGTTGAAGTTGTAAAAGACTTACATAGGACTCTCTTAATCAGAATTAAAACATTAATCTTTCACTTAGATGTGGTTCAGAGAAGAGATTAGATTAGAAAACTTTCTTGATTTAAGAGCCTAGGTTAGATCAATAAAATAATTAAAGACTTTAGAATATCCTAATTAAGCGGGTTATTTGTCATTTACATTTTGCAATTGTTTCAGGAAATAACAAAAACAAATGGTTGGTTGTTGATAAAAGTAACTAGTGGACCATTGACACAAAAGGCTGGTTGTTGGACTATGCAGGATACTCCTAAAACTACAACATACTCCTAAAATCAGTGGACAAAAGGCTAGTCGATTATAGTTTTGATAAAAGACCACTTTAGCATACTCCTAAAACTATAGATCGTTATCTCCCAAACAATAGGAAAGGTAATATTTCCATGAAAGTCAAAAAACGTGAATGCATACCAGCTTCTTTTTCCTAGAACTCAAACTTGCTATTAGCTTTGCTACTTTTTCTAACAATTGTCTTTCTTCATAAGTAGGACATTCATTCATATACAAAATAAAAGCTTACAAAACAATCAGGACATATATTTCAATGGATAGACTAAGGTGGAAAGGAATAGCCACATCAAACTTCTCTTCAAGTTTACATAATTTTTGGTCATGTATGGTTTGTGCTTCTTCCATAATTTGAGTCAATTTGGATGCACGCATATACAATGTCTTGAAGAAGTTTTCTATACTTAGAAATAGATCTTATAGTTTGCACTATTCTAAATTGTCCCTGTATACATTAAAGTAAAATTGCCTCATGCAATTATTGTGCATATGTAGCTAATTTCTCCTTTTGGTTGGCAATGCTACCTTGAAGTTCATTAAGCATCATATCATCCTCTGGGGCAATTTCCTTGAAAAGTTGTATAATGGAGATGGATAATGTGGACGAGTGGCAATGGAATTTTAAGACAACCATAGAGATTAATTACCATGTTAATGATACATGATATGATAGTCAACCATATTAAAATATATTCAACAATTTAACTTACTATATTATAAGGACAAAGGGAGAATTTGATGGCACTTTTTACTAGATCTTAAGAGATTGGAGATTATATATTCCTTTTCTTTTATTTTGGCATTTACGTGCCTATATCTTTCTTTTAGATCAAATAGCACATGTTCAGTGTCTTTAACTTTTTTTTCTGTAGTGAATAACATGACACCTGAGTCATTTTCAAACAGTTCACTTAATTCTTCAGTCAACTGTTGCTGGGAATTATAAAGTCCCTAAAACTCCAGTAGTTGCTACATACAAAATATCTTTAATTAGTTTGGCCTCAAGAAGCAACAAATCTGAAAGGCCTATAAAGACATAATGTAGTGATGAAACTACATTATCCTTAGATTTTAAATCAAGTTCCATGCACTCTATCTTCTTAGTCGTGGCCTGGACAAAGAGAAATGGCAAAAACAAATGAAATAACTAATAATGATTGTGGGGTACAGGATGATAGTTTTAGGAGGTACCAATGGCTCTAAGAAGGTAAATGACCTTCATATATTGGATCTTAGGATGAAAGAATGAACCTAAGCCAAATGTGAAGGGACCCCACCTTCCTTTCGTGAGTCATACTACCATTGTCATTGGCGATGACAGACTTATGATATTTGGAGGTAGTGGAGAAGGGAATCGAATTACTTGAATGGCTTGCATATTCTTAAGGTGATCGGTATCACTATTTGCTCGTTCCATTCTCACATTAAAAGTTAATGGACAAGTCTAGTTCTAATCTAAGTTCTGATTACATTCTTAGTAGATGTTACTTAAGTTCTTGGTGCTCAAAGATACCCAAGTCCGTTTCTAATGGACAAGTTTATTTTTAATGTTAGAGTAGGTCATGCAGTTGTAAATATTGGAACAAAGGCAAGAACAAACTGAAATAACTTTCAAACAATGAATTAGAAAAGGGAAATCAAGCAAACAATCAATTTCAGATGGCTAAAATGTAGACATCTTTGTGTAAAGAAAACTTTGATCCAAACATCCTTGCTTCATTTCAAATTACTAAAATGCAAGCATTGCTACCTCTAGTTGAGAGAATCCCAACTAGTATGACTGAAGGCATTGTTACCTCTACCAAAGTAAATGAGAAATAATGAAAACTCGAAAAAATATGATTGGCTTCAACTCTATCATAAAACTAAATACATTTCATTTTCATCATTTCATGAGCATCATCTAAAAAACCAAATATATAACAATAAAACTAAATTGTTTGATTACATAACCACAAAACCAAATACATTCATCACTAAATTGTGTTCGATTATATCACTATAAAACCAAATACATCAAACAAGGAACACTGTCCTAGACACTCTTCGACTTGTAACATAAGAGAACATTGAAGATGGCCCAAATGACGATAAAGAAAATAGCCACTACTGGCATTCTACTTGTTGGTTTGCGTGATAAATTTTGTTTATCCACCTTTAGCATTCCTTTCATCTCATATAATCGAACCACTATTTCTTTCTTCATGACCTTCAATTCCGCACTGGTTACCTCTTCCCATTGCTTCATCACCATTGGATAATTGTCTTGGTCATCATCTTTATCAGAAGCATTGCACTATGAAAAAAATTAAACTTTTTTGAATTTGAATCTATCTATTTGAAGAATAAAATAGATATATAAACAAATCATAGTTTCACAAGCTTCAACATGTTTGTTTTACAAATCAAAAAGGAAAATAAAATTTTATTACACTTACCAATCGTCAAGCACAAAAGAAGTATAGCCTATGAAGGTTGTCTACTGACTCGGAGGCTCGTACTATATCTTTCCAATCGCATTTGCATATTTCTTTTTCTTGTATGTGAGGTAGGAACTTCTAGCTGTCGAAGACTGCATTGACATTGCAGCAAACACAACAAGTACTTTGAGCAACTACAAAATAAGTGAAAACTTATTAGACTAAAGTTTGCAAAATTTTCATTTGCAGTTCAATCCATTTTTACTAGTACAAAATTAAAATGAAATTGCATTACAAACAGAGGCTTAGAAATACAGGGCCAACTATTCGATTGTGACAATGGATATAACTATATTTGGCCACGGCTAACTAAAGCAGGTTTCCTAGGTGAACATTGTCTTTGTAGATTCGTTGTAATCACATATACCAATAATAGTACTGTGTTTGTGTTAATTGTAACCGATTTGATCTTTTTAATTAAATCCACCTCCATCAAGAAAAACAAAAAAGAAATGGAAAAATGGTTCTCCATATACAACATATATTTGTAAATTGATTTGATCTAAGAGAAACAAAATACCTATATAATTTAGCTTTGAGTTTAATTCAACAAATAAAATTCTTCATGCTTCTTTCACGGAGAACCATTGACTTATTTCAAGATCCCTGGCCTATTTAACCTAAATAAACCACATGAAAATGATAAACTTAGAGTAGTTGTTTCTATAAAACTAAGTCATGATAAACATGTAGATATAAATAATTGGCTTTTATCATCATTAGAATAAGCCAACAGACATCACAATAGGGTTCAACATTCATAGCCCCTAAATCCATGAATTGTAACGAGACATAGTTTAATTGTCTCACCTATTCTATTGATCCAGAATTTGTATCAAGAATTTACCCTATCCAACAATTTTGAAACTGTTGTTAGAAGGGAGTATTTAAATTTCTTACAATAAATACTTGAAAAAACTTAATATTTCAAGGGCATATATGTACAGAAACAATCCATCAATTGGGAAGTCAAAGACTGTGGACAATTGACTTAAAGATAAAAAATGGGAAGAAGCACATGATACTATGTACATTTCTATCTGAGATGATGAATCCTAGACAAATAAATCACATCATATTTTAAGACTAATATTAAGAATCATATACTCTCAAGGTAAATTGCTTTTTCAGTGAAAAAATAATCATATACCCTCAAAAAGAAAAAAGATGGTTAGTAAATAATAGAAGATGCATAGTTAGTGGAAAGAAATATAAAGAGATTGATGGTCCTTACTAGTTTTGTTGTCAAAGTAAGTTATGATATTTAATTTTTCTAAAAAAAATGCCACAAAAAAATAGAAAAGGTAATAGAAGAAACTTGTATTGTCTAGGCAGAGAATCAGAGTTAAGCCATTAAAAGCAAGTAATAGAAGAAAACAAATTACATTAATTACATCAAAATAAAGTCGGACCCAAAATTATTCTTCCCCCCCTCATTAGTCAAATTCATACATAACATAGATAAGCCATTCTCTTCCCTATTTAGGTTGCATTTGGCATTCCTTATTTTAAGGACTTATTTTCCTTTTACAAAATACCCCTATGAACATTGAGTTTTTAACAACAAAAAGGAGATATGTCCTTAAAATAAGGAATGCTAAATACAATCTTAGTATATAATTCCCCTTATTCAAGAAATGTCCATATTCTCCCTGCCATAACAAAATCACATTTTCCCATTTTATTTTTCCTGTTCACATCTCTGTTCATGAACATTATTGTTTGAACTGTGATTTTTTTTTTTTAATACAAGGCATCTCTGAACCAAAAACAAATAATATAGTACAAACTTAGTTGTCACATGAATGTTGTGCAGTAAAAATAGGTCAAATTAATATACATTAATTTGTGTTTAAAATGTTTTTCAAAATATGTAAAAATAAAAGTTATGGAGTTTCTGTAAAAGCCCACTTTTATACAAAAAGTTGGCTTTTATCATCATTAGAACAAGCAACAGACATCACAATAGGGTTCAACATTCAAAGACAAAGAGAACAAGGACAATCGAGTGACTAATTTATACTATTAAAAATCTAAAAAACTACAATGAACCATCTACCTACTAGTAAAACCCTAGAGAGTTAAAATGAAGAGGGTTATAGGGAAAAATCCTTGTGTGTTAAAATCAAAATGAATCTTTGTGCATTCATTCATCCTGGGTTTGTCGTTCTTCTTGGTTCGTTTTCTTCAATTGCTCCTCTTCGGATAGAAAAAGTTGAAATTGGGATAAGAAGAGAGGGTAAAGAGTAACATATAGGCATGGGTATTTTAGTAAAAACATGTGTACATTAATTCATAAAAGGGTAAAATAGGTATTTTAAAAAAATCATCGGTTTAAACTATAAAAAAATAATATGGTCTTCAGTTTCTAACTTTTACATTTTAGTATTTTACATAATAATTACCTAACCATCCCTCGTCCAATCTAATCCCCTATGTATTTCAAGCAATAATCAAATAAAAAAAGAGAAATAGAAAACTTTATTTATTTCTTTTAAACTTCTAAATTACCAATATAAACAAAATTATAAAATAAAAATATAATAAAATGCAATAAAATAGAGTAACTGGAGGTTTCTTAGAGGTTTGTCATTCAGATCACCATTAGTCTCAAGGTTCCTTACTTTTGGACAGAGTAATGAGACATAGAGAGGAATTAGCTTTAAACGAAATTATCCTTCAACCTACCTACAAGAAAACACAAAGCACATGACTACCAATACATTCCGTTGAAGTACAATTGAGCACAAAAAACACCTTCCACGACCGCCACCGCATCGCCACCCAACTTCCAAAAAAGGGCAGAGATGTCCCATCACCGATGCCAGAAATCATCACACCTCCGACAATCTCCCTTGGACTACAACTGATCGATCATAGAAAACAGTGAAGAAGAAACATCTCATCACACTTGTGCAATCAAATCCACCACTCACGCCATTGTCCACCATCATCAATGATCAAACACTCCAACACAAATAGAAATGGCCCAAAAAAACAAGAAATTAGCAAAAGAAAAAAAATAGAAATAAAAAAGAAAGGGAAAACCAGACGTGCACCGATGTCAGAAACCACCACCATTAACATAAAAAACAAAAATGCTTGACCATTATCAAAGAAAATTTGAAGAAAGTTGAGAAATAGAAACCCACCTTGAAAGAAATGGAAAAACTACAAGACAAACTGAACAAAAGAAAAAGAAGAAGAACCCCCTAAAAGCTTATGGGAGGAATCCTTTCAAGTATTACACATTGCCACTGCAATTCCAGGCTCCCTCTCCCCCTCTATCCCTCTCGCTCACACACTGTCTCTTTTGTTTCCCTCTCCCCTCCTCTATCCCTCTCGCTCACACACTGCCTCTTTCCCTCTCTGCCCTACTCTCCCTTAATAAGAATACACCCATTCCGTAATAATATATATAGCGGAGGTAAATTATATAGAAAAAATGAATTTGCAAAAGGTAAATTATTAGTCCCTCATATGATTAATTATTTGTGATTAAATGCTAAGACAAAGAATCAAACATGTGGTTGTCCCAACTGATCAACTTTCATCTTCAAATCAACATCAAAATCTAAACAAAAAATTCAACAAAAGATTGCAGGGAAAGCAACAGAAAATGGTAGGTGCCAAATAAAAAATGAAAGATAACAGTAACCAAGCTTAGTTGAATAACCAGGGAAGGGAGTTTAGACAAAACCAAATCTTAACAAGGTGTCATAAAACAACTAAAACAAATTAACATCCAAACTCAAACAAAACATTCGAATAGTCAAATAATTTAATAAGAATATGAAGAAGTAGATGAAAGAAAGATATGAGAGGCAAATAAACGAATAGGAAAATGGCATGAAAGAGCCAAGAGTCGGCAAAAAAACTTCTAAGGAAACCGATTACCGGCCAAGATTAACTACCAAATGCCAAAGACAAATAAACTAAGTTTAAATAACATAGAAATGAGTAAAAATTTTAAGATAACAGTAAATAAAATTAGTTTAAGAAACAACAAATGAAGTTAAAACTGCAAGAAAAATATATACAGGCCAATAGAAAATAATAGAACATTGGAAAAAAAACCCCTTAATGAAATTATTCGGATAGGTGCACCAAGCATGCCCAACTATGCAAGTATTTCCATGAGGTTTCCACAACAACAACCTATAAAACAAGAAGAAAATAAATTGTAAGAATAGAATCCACCACACACTTAATCATGGAGTCAACATCCATATATACACTAGTATCATTCCTAAATATGGCAAAGCTGCAAAACCAAGTAATGGTAGGATAATTGCTGCCAACACTTGTGTAGAGACCAACTGGTACCATATCATTAATATTTCAACATGATGCTTTTAGCTTGGTTTATCACTATTTTTACCCATATGTAGTTATCAAGATATTTATTTCATGTGGCTAAATGTTGATTGAATCCAATTATATTACTATTTTATTGTTATTAAGAAATATATTATAATTTAATAACTATCTTTACCCAACAAAAAAGGTAGATCTTAATATTTGGCAATATTATTGCTTTATTTGTTTGCAGTGTAAATCTGAACGAGAAACAAAATTTGCACCTGGTTTAGTTTTGCTTCAATTTCTTCTTCTTTTATGTTTTTAATTTGATATGCACTCCTATTTGATGCAAAAATTGCACTTTTTTTGGTATGACACTGCAAATTTTGTATATCAAAACTGATATAATATACACCACCTTCTTCTTACCTCAATTCTCTCACATATAAAGTGAGGACCACATCATCTTGCTTCCTACCTCGTCCATACTATATCCCTTCCATTCTCTTTCACATAAGGTGAGAATGGAGGACCACATCATTTTAGCCTTTTAGGTCCTATTTTATTTCTCATAAACAAATAAGACAAAGCAAAATTTGGAGCAAAAGTAAACCAAAACTTACACTCTAATCTATTTGCACTTTCATCCATTTAAACCGGTGCAAATGAAAATCACATATAAAAGTGACAAAATCTTCTTTTGAATAAAAGTGACAATGGGTGGTGTTCAATCGCCAATTGAAAAATTCATATTCTTTTTGAGCGGACCTGGATTTACAAATTGGTGGGGCCACCATTCACCACCACCTCCAGAATTCATCCAAATCCCGTTTTTCCTCCCTTTCAAATCCAGCCTCAAAGAAAGTCCAAAGGCTATTCACCGGATTAGGTGGTCCGGCCGTCTGGGGCCCACCCAGGCCCAATATCAACAGACCACAATCCACATCGCTTACAAGGTACAAGCCACCCCCAACTCAGTGGGCCCCACCGGAACAGCTTCCTTCATCCAATGCACTGTGCCCACTCCATCTCCACCACAAAAACCCGTTAACTCGACCAAACTACCTCTTATGTCGTATCCACGTTGCGAAAAACAAAAAGAAAAAGAAAAAGGGACGGCTGCAGTGCACCAGGTGTCAGCACATGGATCAGGTCCTACCGAACATAAGGTGGTACCACGAGTCCACGACCACTAAAATATCTGAAATATTTATAAGAGAAGATATTTTGGTGCGTGGCCTCTCGCTCGACACGTGTATTCCAAAAAGAGGCGAGACCGAGATCGTCGCACTGGACGCATTTCACGAAGCGCTCTCTCGTTTGTCACGTCTGCATCACTCATTGGCTCCAGGTTTGAAACTCTCGCTCTTTGGATCGCTAATCCTCTACATTTGTGGAAGCTTTTGTCAGAGGAGGGAACTCTCTCACCTTTTACCCGTGTCAAAGTAAGGGGTAATTTTGTCTTTTCATTTAAGGGTTATTTACAAAGAAAACACGTGTGTAAACAGGAGGAAGAGTATGTATCTAGTCCTAGTCGAGATAGTGGGAGTAGCACCTCGGAAGGAAAATATCTAAGCGGAGCGAGTGGCGGAGGAATAGGCGCGTACTCGTCCGTTATTCGGGGCGAGATGACGTGGCAGATACTCCCTCCAATGAGAGATATTTAGGAGACTGGTCGGTGACCGCAGGACGATCAGTCGTGGCACGTCTCACCAAAAAGATCTTTTCTCTCTCCTCTCTGGTGTTTTGTATTGTATGTCTAGTTGTCTACTTGGCTGCTGGAAAAATATGGAGCACAGGATGAGAGAGGAGGCGGAGGTTGTCGTCGCCGGAGACGACGGGGAGGAGGTTGCGACCGGTCGGAGTATGGAGAACAGGGTGGTGAGGGATGTTGTTGCGGGGGCAGTGGAAGCGTCGTCCAGGAATCGGGTATCGAATGGTGAGTTGAACTCGGGAGGAGGAGGAGGAGGAGGAGGTGGAAGTAGGAGCAGAGAGCAGGTGATTGGGTGGGAGCGGTTTCTTCCAAGGAGGTTCTTGAGGGTTCTTCTTGTTGAGAATGATGATTCTACTAGGCATATAGTTGCTGCTTTGCTAAGGAAATGTAGCTACCAAGGTATGCTCTGTTTCTTCATCATCATTATCTTCTTCTTCTTCTTCTTTAAATGCTCTGTTGTTTCATCTTTCTTTTGGTTACGGAGTTAAGTTTTTTATTTGATGGATTTTTTTTTTTAATTTGGTCTTTAAATGTTAAACTTTTTTAAATTGAAGTCATGCCTCACTAATACCCCCTTTTAGTTTCTATGATATCAATGGAATAATATCATCGAGTATCTATGAAGAATGATCAATCCTTTATTAGATTGAAACAAGCGTTCATTGTCTAAACAATTCATAACTCAGAGTCTGATCTTGGTGCTTTCATGGTTTTAGTAATACAAGATGAAACGCGAGAGAGCATGAGATGTCTTTTTCATAAACTTGAAATGTTTTGAGTTGATAGGATGACCCTTGGGCAGCGGGGAACTGGGTTTTATTTCTTTTTAGAAAACAGCCCGTACTGCATGCCTCATCATCTTTTTGAGTCAAATGAGGGAAGAGATGGTAGGTACATATCCACTTTGCATGATTTTGACTAGCTCATTGTTTCTACATTGCTGGAAGTTGGAACTCGAGAGCAGAGGCAATAGTCATTGATAAGGTTGAATCTTAATTGATTATCCATGTGCCATTGTGTGTCTTCAAATGAGCTTAGCTACTTCAGTCTAGTTTTGTTGCTGTTCCTTTCTGGATAAGGATAATAGTCATTCTTCTAATCCATCATCAATGTTGAGGAGGCAGCCTTGACAAGTTTAAATTATTATCCAATTGCTCCAAAAATCCTTCTTTCATGTATCATGCTCATGACATGGTTATCCATTGTTGTAAAGCCTCGTCAGATAATTTAATACTAGTGGTAAGTAATAGGGGGTGTTTTATTCAACTGGTGCAGGTGATGAGGTGTTTTCCATTTCATAACCTTTGAGTGAACTGGATGTTCCAAATGAAGTTAATAATTTTCATCTAGTAGCAGAGTGCTTGGGCCTGTAGTTCTCAATTGAGTGTGGTTAAAAACCATATTTGAGATTTACCTATTACTAGTGCGGCATGATGATTCCTTGGCAAAATTTTGATGGTATTCTTTCACATGACTAATCTGGAACTTTGTTGTGTCCTAAACAGTTACTGCAGTTGCAGATGGGCTCAAAGCTTGGGAGGTCCTAAAGGAGAAACAATATAATTTTGATCTTGTTTTAACTGAAGTGGTGATGCCTTCTCTCTCTGGGATAGGTCTTCTTTGCAAGATCATGAGCAATGACATATGCGAAAACATTCCAGTAATCAGTGAGTTACAAATTATTCAAATCCTAGGCTTATCTTTTTGATGCCTTAGAAGAGAGTCTTTGACCTTCTCTCATTTCATGCCTGACAGTGATGTCCTCACATGATTCCATTGGCATAGTATTTAAATGCATGCAAAAGGGTGCTGCAGACTTTCTGGTAAAGCCAGTTAGAAAAAATGAACTAAGAAACTTGTGGCAGCATGTCTGGAGAAAGTATTGTGTATGTTCTATCCCTTTACCATTCATTTGTTTAGTCCATTTCTTTCCTAAAAATTCAGTTCAATCCTTGTGTTTATTTATTATGGAATTCAAAATTGGTAACAACTCAGACCACTCTTGCAGTCTAGTAGTTGTGGAAATAGGTCTGAAAATGACAATCTAAACCAGGTAAGACTGGAGGCTGTGTCTGACAATGATGCTGCTAGCAATCATGGAAGTGCAAATGCTTGCAACAAATCTAAAATGGGAAACAGTTCTAACAAAGAAAGTGATACTCAGGTGAGCATTCTAATCCTTTATATATTTTTGATCAAAGTAATCTGTATGATTTAGCCCTTGATGTTTCATCTGCTATAAAATCTATGCATGGAGTCCTATGAAAAGGACATTTGAGTTTGATTACTAGAGAAGAATCCATTTAAATGGTCGATGTAATTTATAAGATATCAGAACGGATACTTACTGATGTAGGATAGTGTTGTAAGTGAACAAAATTCTCACAATAGAATAACAGAATATAGATATTAAAAGAAGAATACAAAGGTAGTGGTTAGAGGAGTCATTTCTCTCTTCCCTAATCAAGTATGGATCACCCAAAGCTCAATGCAAGGCTTTCAATGGGGTCACATCAGTGAATAGGAATTCTTGAGCATCATGCCCAAAGAAAATAGACAAAAGGCAAAATTTTATCTCCAATGTTGTTATTCTCCTTTACAACTATATTATGAGTTTATGACCTTATATACAATCATTTCCCTAATGTAAAAACTCTGAAGGCCTTCCAACACATGTGTATAGATGGAATGACTGCAAAACTCCTACGGACCCTTTGACCTATTACAACTTTGACATGAATACCTACCTAAATAAATCTCTTGACTTAAAAAATTAAAGAACACAAATCACAACTTGTCAAACAATTATGAATCAGCTACAACGCAAATCATAATTCTCTGGTTATTGGAAATACAATAGAATAACCTATCTAATGATACTAGAATATGAAACAAGCCATAATAAACTGAAGACAATTTTCTGAGGCCCAAAAAATTTACAAACAATGAAGGGGGAAGGAGTTTAAAGAGGAAAAGAGTGGAGGACAATCGACAGGGTTTAAATAGAAAGAAAAGATTGGTGGTATGAGGAGCCATAGGGGAAAGGGTTGAAAGGAAAGAAATGGATGAGCAGGAGGGGGGCGAAAAGGAAAAGA